AAACTTACGTTCGATTTAAACTATTCAACATCTCCCCCCTCCTCATATACGGATGCCATTGGCCGCTTGCTCCGATGATATGCTAAAGTCTTCGTTATGCGTGCTATAAAGTCCTTGACCATGTGTTGGCTTTATAGCATCTGCGCGGGCAACTGACAGATCTCTTCGTTAATTGCAGCCACCTGCCTGGCAAGAGCCGCCTGGTCTAGTTGTGAGGAGCTCGGTGAACTCAGTATGTGACCACGAGAGAGCTCGGTCTTGAAGGCTATGACCTTTACTCCAAGGCCATAAACCCTCCCCTTCTTCTTCCTTGTCGCTTGAGTCCAAAGCTCATACTTTGACTGTATAGCAGTAGACTGACTACCACTGAGTTGGCAGAAGTCTGGGCTTGAGTGGCCAAGTGCCTTTCCTAGAGCTACTCGAACTCCTCCTGCATAATTAAAACTAGTGGTTAATTAATATTTTTAATATTTAGAGTCAAAATAAAAATTTAATTTAAGTTTATTAACTTACAACTGCCTGTCGGGAATGCTCTAAGATCCACTACGAAGTCCCCGGGCGCCGATAAGTTTAGACTGACTACCCGGGAGCACAATCCAGTTCTTTGGCCTATGTAGCGTACAAAATTCATTAACGCTACAAAATTAATTCAAAGATTGAATTAATTTTTAAGTATTTAAGAGAATCTTCCCATCCTCCTGTAGTTTTTCGCATGTGAAACTGATCCACCAATATAGGGCATAGCTCCCTTGGCCCCCTTCATCGCCCGGTTCGTCAGCCTCTTCCCCTCATAATCAGGAGAGGCCCAGGCTGTGGTCTACTAACTCCAGAGCCCCTCACCGATCTAGCCAGGCTGCTAGCTCCTCCAGCTGGTTGTAGTGAATATGTCTTCAAGGCGATGCCTGCTCCGAATCTTGAAGATTCGACGGATCTCATCATGGTGGTTTGGAAGCTAAGTGAAGGACCTCTATAATGTTAAAAATAATCCATGTGTTAGTATAATAAATTAAATAAAATTTATAAATCTTATTCAAATTACATGACCGTACATTGAAAACTTTGAACCACAAGTCCTGACTAGCTATAGGGATTTGCTTCCATGAGAGATAGAGATGATCCTATTTACTCCTTATAATCTCTGTGATGCAGGTGACAAATATCTTGTGGGGAATGATTCTAATTAAGAAATAAATTAGTTACCAAAAAAAACATTTAACATGAATAATAAACATAATACAATGTTATAAATAACTTATGACTCCCCCTCTGACAATGAATGTACCCTCGGAGAGGGGGGGGGGCAGGAGTCAAAGGGCCAGACTTGAGGTGTTGGAGCAAGTGGGGCTGGAGGAGTGTAAACAATAGCAACAATTGTAGTAGATGTGGGAGTAAGTGTAGAAGCAGTAGGCGTCACACGTGAAAGAGCAGCAGAGGGTGTAGCAGCAGGTGTCAAAGGAGGGGTGACAATAACAGGTGAATGAACAAGTGTCACAAGAGGGGTTGCAACAGTGGATGCTGGAGCAGGTGTCACAAGAGGGGTGGCTACAGTAGGTGCGAGAGCAAGTTTCATAGGTGGGGTGCCAATAGTGGGTGGGGGAGCAGTAGTGGAAGCAATGGCAGAAGCAGATGACCTCCTCTTCCTGCTACAATACATGGTTTCTAGTTTCCCAAAACACCGGGTTTCTGAGGTGGCTGACCATTTGCACCACCTGTGGCCATCTGCAAACGAAGGAATGAAGTTAGTAAGATTAGTACTGACATGAAAAATAATTATAAGAAGAAAGAAACAGGACAATAAATATAAGACAAAAGTAACAATTATGTTTAAAAATAAGAAAAATGAGAGCAGAGAGTATGTCACATTACGACAAAAGTAAAACACAAAAAATAGCAGTAGCAGCCACAAATCTAAAATTACATACCTTTCTTATTAAGTCTCATCAGAGGAACTTGCTTTTGAACATGAACCTAAAATTTCTTTTTCATTCTCATCATCATCCTCATCCATACCACGAGCAACCTCTTCAAAAATCCCTATGGTATCCTCTAGCGCAAACATTTTATCGTTTGTGTTGCCCTGGATATGAAAATCTGACATATCTTCCTCTTGGTGAATTGGTTCAGTAGTACTATACAACTCAATATTTTGCTTCATTTATTCTTCATTACCACATTCCAATCAACTTTATCCCTGACTCTACCTAAGTATTGAAGGTAATAAACATATGTAATTTGGCGTGCCAGAACAAATGGATCAAACTTCACATATCGCCTATTCAATTTGGCTTCGACGATATCATAAGACGTGAGTGTTCGGGCTCCTCAATTTAGAACATGATCGAACCAATGACAGTTGAACAAGTATATAATATAACTAACATTACGTGGATATTACAATTCAATGACTTCGTTAAGTACACTGTAATAACCAATCTCGTCATCTGTGTGTGTGTTTTCTTTAACAGCGACACTAAAATTATATGTCTTCTTCCCTTCATACCAGAAACTCATATGGAATCTATAACCATTTATATCAAAATTGTGTGTAATGCATCTAAATTTCCTATATATATATATATATATATATGCGCCGCATACTCAAATCAGTTGGTCAGGCACCTGCCTGTCAGTTGTAAGTCCCATCTAGTCTGGGGTTCGATTCTCCCCTGTGGAGGGTGTGATACTTGAATTGTTAGATGCATCGGGGATGACTGAGGCTCGTATAATAGCCTCATACCATTCCTTATATATATATATATAGTCGCTTG